CAAACCCCAAACAATGAAGAGGAATCTGCAGATCTCTCCATAGCTCCTGCTGGGTAGTCTCAGGAAGAGGCTAAATTAGCACCTCCTTAGAGATCCAAGGGCCAGTGTACCCAGTGGTCAGAGTGGGACCATCCAGATTACAACTCCTCAGATCCATAAGGGACACACTCAGGAGGCAGACTCAGTGAGCACCAAAGCCCCACTGAAGCAAGTCTTGCCCCAGAAGGGTGTCTCCAGCACAGAAGTTCTCCCACTGCAGACACAGCTGATTCTCACAGCCAATTGGCCTGGAGGTCAATTCCTCCCAGTGAAACCTACAACAATCAAGGCTTAACTACAACAAGACTGCACACAAAGCCCACAAAGGGGTGCACCAAAAGTGTCCACCTCAGGTAATTGGGGAGGCTGAGCCACTGGGCCCTATAGGACACCTAGCACACAAAGCCACTTTATCAACACAGAGAAGCATTAAAAATGCGGAGACAAAGAAACAGGTCACAAATGACAGAAATGGAGGAAAGCAAACTACTGAATATAGAGTTCAAAACCACACTTATAAGGTTTTTCAAGAATTTTCTAGAAACTGCCGATAAATTTAGTGAGACCCTCAAGAAATCTAGTGAGACCCTCGAGGATATGAAAAAGGACCAACTAGAAATTAAGCATACACTGACTGAAATAAAGAATATTATACAGAGTTCCAACAGCAGACTAGAGGATCGCAAGAATCGAGTCAAAGATTTGAAATACAAAGAAGCAAAAAACACCCAACCAGAAAAACAAAAAGAAAAAAGAATCCAAAAATATGAAGATAGTGTAAGGAGCCTCTGGGACAACTTCAAACATACCAACATCTGAATTATGGGGGTGCCAGAAGAAGAGAGAGAGCAAGATATTGAAAACCCATTTGAAGAAATAATGACAGAAAACTTCCCCTACCTGGTGAAAGAAATAGACTTACAAGTCCAGGAAGCGCAGAGAACCCCAAACAAAAGGAATCCAAAGAGGAGCACACCAAGACACATCATAATTAAAATGCCAAGAGCAAAAGACAAAGAGAGAATCTTAAAAGCAGCAAGAGAAAGACAGTCAGTTACCTACAAGGGAGTACCCATACGACTGTCAGCTGATTTCTCAACAGAAACTATGCAGGCCAGAAGGGAGTGGCAAGAAATATTCAAAGTGATGAATAGCAAGAACCTACAACCAAGAGTACTCAACCCAGCAAAGCTATCATTCAGAATTGAAGGTCAGATAAAGAGCTTCACAGACAAGAAAAAGCTAAAGGAGTTCATCACCACCAAACCAGTATTATATGAAATGCTGAAGGGTATTCTTCAAGAAGAGGAAGAAGAAGAAAAAGGTAAAGATACAAATTATGAACAACAAATACACATCTATCAACAAGTGAATCTTAAAATCAAGTGAATAAATAATCTGATGAACAGAATAAACTGGTGAATATAATAGAATCAGGGGCATAGAAAGGGAGTGGACTGACTATTCTCGGGGGGGAAAGGGCTTGGGGGGTGCGGGAAGAGACTGGACAAAAATCATACACCTATGGATGAGGACAGTGAGGGGGGTAAGGGCAGAGGGTGGGGTGGGAACCGGGTGGAGGGGCGTTATGGGGGGAAAAAGAGGAACAACTGTAATAATCTGAACAATAAAGATTTAATTAAAAAAAAAAAAGAATCTGACTTTGTCCCAACTACCTCTAAATCACAGTACCATCCAGCTATATTTTGGCTAATCCTTGCCCCAGATGCCCTACCAGATGTTATGCAGCACCAAGTGCAACCCCATCTGTCCCAGACTCTTCTACCTTTCTCAGCTGCCAAAATGTCTTGCTCTTGTCCACCTCATCCCCAAAGAGCCTATAAGTTCAGAGGATCCAGCCTTTTCATAGATTCACTCTGTTGCTCAGTAATACTACTTCCATAGTTTAAATAAATCATAGAAGATTTTTGCCTTCTAACAAAGTAGGAATCTTTATATTTATACACTAGAGGCCCGGTGCACGAATTCATGCACGGGTGGGGTCCAGCTGGCCTGCCCTGGAGCCAATTGGCCAGGCCAGCTGGGTCTGGTGGTGGGGGAGGGACAGAGGGCCGTTGGCGGGCCAGCCCTGTCCCCTGAACTCCCAGTCGAGGGGACAATTTGAATATTACCCTTTTATTATCTAGGAAAGATACAGAAATCGAACTATTTCTACCATGCAGAATTTAGCATTTAACAGGATTTTAAAGTGATTAAATTGCCATTCTAACTTGGATCTGTATTAGGTAGTAAGTACTGGTATTAGCCCAAGTTATTGGAATGTGAAGTGAAAGTTCCTCAGGAGTCCAGACGGATCTGTAACCCTTCAGTGGAACAGGGGGTTTCTGGCATACAAACGGGCGGTTTCAGGTGATTTATGTGGTGGCACCTGGGACTTGAGACATGTCTAATAGAAGGATGTATGATAAACGATGGTTACGTGGTCCTATTGGATCACAGACGCCCACTGGATTATAACGTTTAAAATACCACAAAATTGGCTGCGTGAGAGTTTGATGCTTTCCTGGGTTAGACTAAGCTTCTCACCCCCAGGCCTACCCTGTTCTTCTGGGGGGAAACATCCCATGGGATGGAGAGGGAATGTATCGACTTTGTCGTCTGTACTTAGGTACATCCAGACAGTATCTGTGAGGAGCAGGAAATGCAGAGCGAGGCGCAGCAGTTCTTCCTCTCCCGCCAGGGTGTACTCGGTGTCACCAGAGGAAAACTTGTCAGGGTTCTAACATGGGGCGGGTTTGTCTATAGGTGGATGTCTGACCTGGGGACGAACGAACCACCTATTTGACAGTATCGATTATTATGATCAGTGGTGGCATCTGGATGCTTTCCACTCCCATTCATGAGCAACCCAACCTGACAGCAGTCTAGTAAATGCCTTTAAGGGCCCAGGAATGAATCAATGCCTCGCTAAGGAATGAGACAATAATGGAGACTGAAGCAATGGTTTTTATTAAATCACACGTCATGAAGTATTTGTTCTAGCTTTACATTCATCATGGCTGCACCGCCATGAAGTACAGAATTGAAAAAGGAGATAAGAGGTGGGGGGGAAGGAAGAATATCTGATTCTTTGCAGTGCTTGTGGAAATTTCTGGAATAATGAAATGCATACTATAAAATAGCATTTAGAACAAACACCCCATTTTATAGCTCATAGGACAGTACCAAACATTAGTAAGTTTAAATGTAACAAATATGATTTTTGGTATATAAATTTGCAAAAACAGTCTCTTTTCTTCTACCCCTCAATTTAACCTCTTAGAAGCAAATGTACGAGCCCTGGTTAACTAGATGTATGCATCATGACACTGAATGAAATGGATTGTACATCTTTCTTAATCAGTCTGCACAAATTTCCAACTGGCTTCTAAATCTTGTAACGAAGGATCAAAATGTAGGCTAAAGGAAACACATCAACTGGGTAGCAAGTGCCTTTCTTTGTAACGTGGAGGTTGTTTTCTACTGTCTGAATTTTGCTGCTTCTCTAAAATAAAATGTGCCCTGGCCAGTTTGGCTGAGTGGATAGAGCGTCGGCCTGCTGACTGAAGGATCCTGGGTTTGATTCTGGCCAAGGGTACATGCCTGGGTTGCGGGTTCAATCCCCAGTAAGGGGCATGCAGGAGGCAGCCGATCAATGATGCTCTCTCATCATTGATGTTTCTATCTCTCTCTATTCCTTCCTCCCTGAAATCAATTAAAAAATATAAAATAAAATAAAATAAAATGTAAGAGGTAAATGGTACCCTTGTGCCTCAAGGAAAGTTATGGGAACTCTAAGGCAGATATTTCCTTTGCATTCACATATCTTCCTGGAAAGAAAATACAATTTTTCCCTTCCTCTTTCCCTTCACATTTACTCTTCCCAACCTAAGATAGGACAGGCAGAAAAAGCAACCACAGCCAGTGTGGCATCTTTGTGCTACTAGAAGAGTGACATCACAGGCACAGTCTGAGAAAGGTCAGAAAGGACCCTGTCAGGTCAACGTGGAACATGGCCTTGCTACTTGGATTAGCTCCTTCCAACCTGGAAATATGTCCTCTGGTCATTAAAGAACTGGATGTATCCTTTAGCTTATGAAATAGGATTTGAACTTGAAATCTTAATTTTTAAGTCCTGATTTTGCAGGGTAGCTAGATGATGAATGTATATATTAAGACTTTGTAGCTGGATTGCACATGAGATCAGATTGCCAACTTCTTAACTTTCAAATTTAGACTTCATTTTATCCTTAAGTGCTGAGCAATATATATAGCATGCTGTGAAATGTCTATTATAGTTCTTTAATTCATCAGTATTAATACAGAATTATCTTTTGTGTTCCTTGGTCCTTTTTATTCAATGTAATCAGAAGCTGTGATGTTTTGCCTTTGTAGTCCTTTGCTTTGTTACTGTAATGTGTGGTGTGTTTTTTTACGAAGCACGTGACTTTGGACTAATGTGAGGCGGATGATCTTAAGACTGCTATATATATATATCACTCTCTTACTATATAGGGTTTTCCATTAGAATAAGCTTTTATCAAATAGATCATTGATGCAGTTTAGGATTTACACAATTTGCATTGTCAAATGGCACTTATATTTATAGTTCAATTCCAAAAATAGCAAACTTGATAAACAGCCACTTTAAACTTGTTCTGGCGAACCAGACCCTGCTGTAGCTGTAGTCTGAGGTAGTTACCCATATGAGCCTTCTCCACTGTTATGGCCTCCACATGAGCCAGAATTTAAGGAGATTATAGAACCCATGGAAGCTTTTTGTATGTACAACTAGGTTTTATTTTTCTTATGCTGCTGATTTACAACTCTGACTAAAGCTGACCGGAATGGATCAGTGTATGTGTAATATTCTAGTGCTTTAATGCCTTTTTTTATGGAGGGGTGGGTAATGTTATTTGAACAGATGCAGAAGGAACTGTTAGTGAGGCAAGACAAACACATTTGAAATAAAGGAACTGTGTATTAACATGTTAACAATTCATAGCTGCACTTTTTATGACATTTTGAAAATTTATAGGCACAGAACAATAGGTTTTGTTAAACATTTTACTTGCAAAAATTTATTTCATTGTTATTAGTAGGAATTTTATTGGTTTAATAAAATTGGCAAAACTGTAAAAATAAAAGAAATGCAGGTCTTTACAAAGCATATGCCTGAACCTTGATGGGGTCACTGGCTGCTGTCTGAGCTTTCAGCCCTGCAGGGCATCAGGTATCTGAGGGTCATAAGGCTCTGGAAAGTTCAATCGCATCTTCAAGACTCTCTCAAAATTAAATGTATTCCTGTAACAGACCAGCCAAGATGAGTTACTGGTGCCCCATGAGCAGCAGTGGTAGGGCTGGCTGTGGTGTTTAAAGACACTGTGTTAGGAAAATGGCCGTCCAGTAAGCGAATGCACATTGATTGCCCTGTTATTATGAATGACAGAGAGTTGTTTATAACCCTGGGGAAAGCCATGGAGTGGACTTGTCTGTGGTAGACCACTGGCTAGCACTCCCCCAAATGCCCCATAAAGAGAGAAACTCCAGGCATCATTGCCTGGGGTAGAGGAGTCTTTAACAAAATTAAGGCATGGAGCTTGCGCAGTGGACTAAGGGGGCCCGACCGGCAGGGTGACAGATGATGCCCTTGTATGGGTCTGAGTTGTTTTTGGGTGATGACACCTTTAATCTTAGTACAGGCAGTGAGGTTGCTGACGGTCTGAGTCCCTCTGACCTTGTGGCCGTCTTACCACTGAGGCTGGGGCTCCCTTCTTTATCTCAGGTATAGCCTTTGCAAGGTTTATTTGCTGTTTCAGAAGACAAAGCAAAAGCAATCCTAAACTGAAGCCATTATTATAGCCTCTTCTCACACAAGAACCAGAGTCCGTTCTGGCCTAGCTTGGTGCATTGCTGGGACTGGAGGAAACATCAGAACAGCTGCTATGCTGACTCACTGAAGAGCAAGGTGGGGCTGCTCTGCTGAGTGGCTGAGATGCAGAGCCCTCATCCAGGCCAGACACTGTGGGGTAGTCTGCAAGCAGAAGCCTGTCCCTTATGGCCCGATGAGAACTGTCTTGAAAAAACCTCCTTCACCCTGGGCACTCAGCTCGGGACCCAGGCAGACAACTGAGGCGGCAGCCCACTGGTAGGGTGAACCAGGAGTGAACCTCTGTGTCCCTAAGAACGACTAAGATGGCTCTAAATCCTCCCATGCTTGTTACAGTTCAATTGTGTCCTTCCCACCCCCAACCCAAATCCACACCGAAGCACTAACCCTCAATACCTCAGAATGTGAACTCTTTTGGAGATGGGTTCTTTATAAAGGTAAGCAAGTTAAAATGAGCTCATTAGGGTGAGCCCTAACCTAAAAGGACTGGCGTGCTTATAAAAAGGAGAAATTTGAACACACATAGATACAGAGGGATGATGATGTGAAGATTTAGGGATAACATGGTCACCTACGAGCCAAGGAGAGTGACCTGGGACAGACTCTTTATTCATGGCCCTCAGAAAGAACCCACCCCATTGATACCTTGATTATGGACTTCTAGTCTCCAGAACTGTGACACAATAACTTTCTGTTGTTTAAGCCACCCGGTTCATGGTATTTTGTTATGGCAGTTCTAGCAACAAAGAGATGATTAATTTTTAATTTTCTAGTAAGCCAGAACAGTATCCTCAAATTCAGTTTATTAATTTGTGATATAAACTGAAGCCTGAGCCTAATCTGCCTGGTCTCCACCTTCCTGTAGAACAAATAATAGATAAAATATCTATTATTTTATCTATAAAATAATAGAACAAATAATAGATAAAATATCCTGGTTAATGTGAAGAAATTTATAAAACTAGGTTGCTTTATTTATTAGTTTTAGACTTAGCCAGGAGGGTCTCACCTTCTTTTCAGCCACAGTGACCATGAAAATATTTCTTAGTGCCCAGTTGGTGTGGCTCAGTGGTTGAGTGTCTACCTCTGAAACAGGAGGTTGCAGTTTGATTCCTGGTCAGAGTACATGCCCAGGTTGTGGGCTTGATCCCCAGTAGTGGGCTTGCAGGAGGCAGCCGAACAATGATTCTCTCATCATTGATGTTTCTATCTCTCCGTTCCTCTCTGAAATCAATAAAAATATATTTTAAAAAATATTCCTTAGAATAAGAAAGCTTGGGCTCTAGTCCTGGCTTTACAGTGAACTTGGTAGATCATGTAACTTTTCTTTAATTATCATTATAAAGAAAGAATATACCCTTATATTACAGAAAGGTTCATAGAGAGTTAGAGGTATTATGGGATGTCTTTCCATTCTAAATAACTTTACAGTATATTCTGCATAAGCCCTGGGAATGACTGGATTAAATTCAAAACCCAACCCTCAAAACTTTTGTCTAAAAGTTTTTCCAGAAACTGTGAATATGAGCCCAAACATTTCTGGGTTTTTTTATTGTCTCAAGTTTTACATATGTCTCCTTTTCCCCCAATTGCCCCCCCCCCTACATTTCTGGATTTAAAAAATATTTTTTTATTGATTTCAGAGAGGAAGGGAGGGGAGAATCATTGATCGGCTGCCTTCTGCATGCCCCACACTGGGAATCGAGCCTGAAACCCCAGCATGTGCCCTGACTGGGAACTGAACTGTGACCTCCTGGTTCATAGGTTGATGATCAACTACTGAGCCACGCTGGTATGGCCATTCCTATTGTTTTGAGCCACCCATTTTGTGGTATTTTGTTATTTAGGAAACTAATGCACATCTCTTTCTCCCACATCAGGATGGGAGATACACTGGACGCTCTCTACATTCTGATCAAACAGGAATTCAGAAAGTATCCCTTTCAAAGGATATTTTTAAAGTACAGACCGATATCTTACTTTGACTATTATATTATACAGTACATATTAAGAAATTTAAACTTTAGTTGTGTAATTGTTTATCCTTTTCCCCTCTCATATCCCACTGCTAGTCTCAGGAAATTTATGGGTCCCAATTTCAAAGTACAATTAAAATCTGAACATTTCTCTTCATTTCACTGCTAACATCCTGGTCCAAGCCACTATCATCTCTCACAGCCTCCTATTTTCCCTTTTCCCAATCTTGCTCACCTAGTTTACTGGTAAAAGAACCGATTTGATAAAATCTAGCATTCATTTATGATAAAACTCTCAGCAAAGTGGGAATACAGGGAATATACCTTAACATAATAAAGGCCATATATGACAAACTCACAGTTAACATCATATAAAATGGGGAAGAACTAAAAGCGTTTTCCTTAAGATCAGGAACAAGACAAGGATGTCTACTTTGACCCCTTATATCCAACATAGTACTGGAAGTCCTAGCCATAGCAATCAGACAAGAAAAGAAATAATAATCCAAATTTGAGAGGAAGAAACAAAATTGTAATTATTTTCAGATGACATAGTAATATACATGTTTGGAGAGAGAACCCTAAAGATTCCACCAAAAACTATTAGAACTAATAAATGAATTGAGAAAGGTAGCAGGATGCAAAATTAATATTCAGGAATCAAATGCATTTTTATATACTGATAGTAAACTATAAGAAAGGAAAACTAAGAAAACAATCCCATTTACAATTGTATCAAATAAAATATCTAGGAATTAATTTAACCAAGGTCTTTTATCTAAAAGACCTGTACTATGAAAATTATAAAACACTGAAGAAAGAAATGTAAGAAGATACAAAAAATGGAAGGATATACTGTACTCATGGGTAGGAAGAATTAATACAGTTAAAGTTTCCATACTACCCAAAGCAATCTACAAATTCAATGAAATTCCTATCAAAATACCAATGGCGAAAATGGTGGCATAAGTAAATGCAGTACTCACATCCTTCCACAATAACATCAAAATTACAACAAAACTATAGAACAACCAACATTCAGAACCACCTGAATTCTGGCTAAACAGAAGTCCTACAACTAAGGATATAAAGAAGCCACATCAAGACTAGAGGAGAGGCAGAGATGTGGAACAGGATGGTCCCACACCCACATGTGGCAGATAAAAACCGGGAGGGATAGCTTGGCTGTGGAGGTCCCCCCGAGGGATCTCGGCCTCACACCAGCCCCCCCCAGCACAGTGTTCCAATGCCAGGAGGAGAAGTCCCCATAACTTCTGGCTGTAAAAACCAGCAGGGATTATGGATGAGTGAGATGGAAGGCTGCTGGAGTTCCAGGTGTTCCTCTTAAAGGGCCCATGCACAGACTTACTCAGACTCACTTAGCTCTGAGCTTCAGCACTAGGGCAGCAGCTTGAAAGTCATCAGGTGTAGAGAGCGCTACAGCATTTGGACAGGATCAAGCCTCGGACTGACGAGAGGGCACAGTACTCTTGTGGCAAAGCCACATACATGTCCCAGCTTGAAGGGCAAAGCCCTCCCAGCACAATTATAGCCAAAGGCTATGGTTGTATGTAAGCTTGACCTTATAGTCTAACCTTGTAGTCCTAGGTAGCTAAGGGATATGGGCTGTGGGAAGTACAGCAAGTGCTGCCAAAACAAAGCTTGACAGAGTTCAGAGAATTACAATAACAGGAAAGAAGCAGATTTGAAACTTGCAAGAACATTGTAAATATCTTGACCACTCCCTTGTTTTGCTCTGTGTGATCTGACTATAAAATAAAGATTCAGCTTACAGGTGGGTCACCTGTAGGGAGTCGCTATAGGGTTAAGCCTCGGATTGACCTGTGGCAGAGCCACAAACAAGTCCCAGCTTGGAGGGCACAGCCCTCTTAGCATAATTAAGCTTGACCTTATGACGCTGCCTAGATCCTTCCTAGGTAGCTCATGGGCTGTGAGAGGTGCAGCAAGTGCTGCCAAAACAAGTGAAACTCACAAGAACATTGTAACTATGTTGACCACAACCTTGTTTGTCTCTGACTATAAAATAAAGCTTCAGCTTACAGGCCGGGTCTTTCTGTGTCCTCATCCAGGCATGGAAGATCTGCTGAGCCCCAGCTGTATTCTCTTTGTCTATCTTTTTTAAACCCTTCACCGCCCTCCCTCAGGTTTACCCTTGGCCGTGCTGGTGTGGCACAGTCACTGTGTCCTCATCCAGGTGCAGTGATCACCTGGTCCCAACTGTATTCTCTTGTCTGTTTTCTTTAATCCTTCACCGCCCCTCCTCAGGTTCACCATTGGCTGTGCTGGATGCGGTTCAATCAGGGACATAGGGAGAGGAACTGAAGTGTTTGGCATCAGGGTGAGAGCTGGAGGGGCAGCTTCCTTCCAGACAGAAGTGCTGGCAGAGGCCATTGTTCCTTTTCTGAGCCCTCCTCCCACAGACCTGTCAGGTGAGCTCCATCAACCGGGCTAACATGATTAGTCCTGCCCTGGTGATT